TTAATTTAAAAGGAATATTGTTTCTAAGTTATCGAACAATGTACTAGTTACTCATCGAATAGTATAATTACTGTGTAGATTAAAGCTGTGCATTTTCCCGCGTTAAACCGAATACACCCGATCATTCACGAAAATTCAAATTATCTCGCCAACTATCTCAGAAACAGCGCAACTATACTACTGATAGCCGACTTCGCGGTTTCTCAGGACTAGCAGAATTATGGTTTCTTGCGCTATTTCGTGTTTCATAAATAAAAATTTTATTGGAGATAATATCAGAAAATTTATTGAATTTATCAAAGTTGTCTGTTAACTGGGAGTGACTACACATTTTATTGCAACTTTGATTATTTTCTCGAGTGCTAAGGGTTGACATTGGTTAATGATTCAGAATTACAATATTAGAGGGTAATTTAGTTTCCAGGTTACAAGAACAACTTAGAGACTGAAGGAATCGCTGTATTTTGATGAAAGAAATGATATCAATACCCTTTGCTTTGGATAAATCCTCTTTTGGACTTAACAGGACCACAACAATAACAATCCAAACTTCAATATAAATGCCATAGGCAAGTAGATGCAACAAAACTTTTACTTATAATATAATAGAATCTACGTGGCGAAAACAGCAAATGGCGCAAAGGAATATAATTTCACGTATTCTGTGAAAACGAAAATAGTTAGCTATGGGAAACCCTATTACCGATGAGTAATTACAAAGTATATATCTGTGTAAGTTAAATTATTTGGCGTTCCATTGATATTTTTCCCACTATTAAAATTTTGAAAATAACCACAATAGACAGTTCACCTACATATCTCAAACAAGATTTAAAAAAAAACTCCTTATTTTGGTAGCAGTAATCCGTCCCATATAATGTGAATAACCCTGTACATGATAGACAAGAGTACACATAAATGTATAGTAATTTTACACATAGGGAAATAGATAATATACAAACACTTTGAACCAGACAAAATTGCTACTAAATTTCAATGAAAAGAAACAGTGTTATATCTAAAAAAAATATTCAGTTCTTTACATTTACCCATTCCCTTATAATTATGATGTTCTTAATGAAAACTGGCTAATTTACTGCGGATTATGTTTAAGATCAGTCCAGTTCAATTTGATTTAATATGATGTCCAATTTTCAGTTGTGCAATGGATCTTTCCAACTAGATAGATTTCTATCGAAATTTAATTTTTTGCAGTCTGAACATAAAGTATAAGCAATTGCTAAAATCCGTTACGCCCATAATGGAAAGGTTGTTGTTTCGGCAATCCTGCCATTCGTGCCACCAAAATTTGTATGGAAAATGTTTGCATATAGGAGCAATGTTCAGTACAATTTTTTTTTTATATAAGTTTAAACCTCTTAAGAATATGGTTATGAATACAGATTCAAAATTATTTTCAAACACTCCGGTACATTCGGGAAGTGTTGGGACGCATTTTTCGTCATTCTTTGACATAAATGAAAGCGAAAAATTTTAAATGAGCAACATTGCCACTTTTTGCGTTTTGTAAACTTACTCGATTTTTTTTAATTTATAATTTTATTTCTATTTATTTATTACATATATTTCAGTCGAGCATTAAACATTAACATTAAGATTGACATATTATTCAGATAGGAAAATTATAATCTACTTTGCTTTATTGCCAAAAATCAAAAGCATAATACTAGCGTTTTATGCTTATAGTTAGTTAGTTAGTCTACACTCCTATGATTGTATATCGTTGAAACTGTCTTTAATGCTCTACTTAGTATATTTATAAAGTGTTGTTCAAAAACATTAAGGAAATTTACAAAACACGAGGCATGGCATGTCTATCACTTAACAATCTGCTTTTTTAGCAAATAGCAACATATATACCAAACAAAAAATCTTTTGTTTGATATATATAAAATTTTAAATTCTAGTTATGACAGAAAAAAAAAGAATGTGTCGCAATAGTATAAATTGTTTCATATAAAATGAGAAAGTTTGTACTTTGTATTGAAAAAAAAGTTAGGTAGTTAACGATCTTACTAGGACCACGCTCTATTGTGTAAAGTGAGATTATATATTTTAAAAAATGAATTTAATAGTTATATGTAAATTTCTCAAAGGTATATTTGCAAATGATATGGGGCTTACAATAATATATGGTCTGGACTACATGCCGAATACGTCCCAATATATATTTCTAGTAAATATATGTATTTTATGTATGCTTTCTCCAGTATTCTACGCCTTTAAATAGAAATCAAAGGTCAAATAGAACTACGGTCCATGTATTCAGATGCATGATGATAAAAGTGGCCTGATATGTTGTCCAACCCCGTAAAGATAATTAAATACGCTCTATTGAATGGACCGAAATTAGAAGGGATCATCTTCATGAGTGGGCAATTGGGTCGGCGAGAGAGGGTCCTTGTAAACAGTTTGCCGCAATAATTCAGTTGAAGATTTTTTGCAATTCGCACTATAAAAATTTAAAATCAACTACAATATTTGCATATAAAAACGAAAAAAACTGTTTTAAAAAAACTCGTGCATGGTATACCGGGCTATTGAAAATTCGATACATTCCTTTGAAGGTGTGATAGTGGAGTAAATTTAATCCCAATATGCATTATGCAATACTTAGTAGGTTTTAAGATATTTTAATTTTTCTTTTTTTTTTCAAAAACGTAAACCTTGATGCGTGGTTTTCAAAAAAACCTACTCAACTTTTTTTTTAATTTTAATGGATCACTTTTTTAACAAAATGTCGAAAACGTTGGAAAATTTTAAATAAATTGTGTTAATATTTTTGTTTTTAATAAAATAGAACTAACCAACATTCGTCCAGAATTTTGTAAAACTTTCATATTCGAATATCTATAGGATAAAGTACAAACTGTACCAAAAGTGCTTGATACGATTTCTATTTTTAGATTAAACATAAGTAACTTAGTTGAAAAATAGATTTTAGTTTTTATTTTTTTTTGCATTAATACTTAATTTTTACAAGTCTTGTTGAAAATGAGACCTATTGCGGATACATGCTTGGTGGCCTCTTCTTTACCTTCTTCGTTATTCTAGGTGTTAGGGTATTCCATATCTGTTGGGCAGCGTCGGTTATTCTTTGTGGAAGTTCTTCTCGGTTATTTACTGGGGTTGTATAGACCAGTTGTTTCATTTCACTCGACACATAATAATCCAGAGGAGTCAAATGTATTGCACCTGCCCTTTCAATCAAAGCTTGACATTAAGGTTTACATGGTCAAGAAATAAATGAAAATAAAATATCTCAAAACCTATTAGGTTCTGTATGATGCATATCAGGTTTAAATTTACTCCTTACTCTTACTCCTCACTCCCCTTTCACACATCTAAATCAATGTGCTGAATTACCAGTTACCCTGCATATGAGAAAATGAACTTCATCAGATCAGTTGTTTTAAGAAAAATGTGGGAAAAAACGTTTTCTAGTTAGAAAACTATCGAGGAATTTCCGTTCATGCATCTATCTCTACAGTCTTCCAAAAGCTGATAAAAAAGAGAATTGAAAAGAACAGCCTGATTTCGGAGTGGGTAAGTCTATCACTATTACTGTTAATAAGATAATATAGAAGAACCTTGCAATCAATTAAGAATTGCACCTTCCTTATTTCGGTCTCAAGAAATCTACCTAAATTAAAACCCTGAGAACCATTGGAAAAAACAAACAACAGCATTACACTAACAAGAGCAGTTTGAGAACTCTATAAGAATGAGACCAGTAAAATAAAAAATGAACTGGCTATATGAAAAGGATTCGGTATTAACAAATAATAGCCCTGGCCTATGAGTTATTGACTAGAACTTAACGAGTGTAATTTATTGAAGAATATGGCAACTGGAAGTAAATATCAACAAAACGGAATATATCTGTACTTTATATCATTTTGCTCAATAAGTAGTTTCTTCTCTCACGTTTCATTGCAAATGTTGACAGTCAATATCTCAGAAACTAAGCGTAGAAACTTAACATAAACAGAAAGTATTCGAAATAGAGAACTCTATAAGAATGACACCAGTAAAATAAAAAATGAACTGACTATATAAAAAGGATTCGGTATTTACAAATAATAGCCCTGGCCTATGAGTTATTGACTAGAACTTAACGACTATAATTTATTGAGGAATATGGCCACTGGAAGTAAATATCAACAAAACGGAATATGTCATTTTGCTCAATAAGTAGTTTCTTCTCTCACGTTTCATTGCAAATGTTGACAGTCAATATCTCAGAAACTAAGCGCAGAAATTTAGCATAAATAGAAAGTATTCGGAATAGGGGCCCCTCATTTTGAACAAGATTTAAAAAAAATTATCATTATTCTAAATAATGTAAACGCTATTTTTCAAGTACGTTATTTATTATTAATCTTAAAATAAAACTGCATCGAGCGCTTTTGGGACCATTTGTAGTTTATTGCATAGCGATTGCAATAAAAAAGTTTTAAAACGTTTGGGACAGATGTTGGTTAGTTAGATTTTGGAAAAAATAACCGATGAGCAATTGTGACAACTTACTAAGAAGAAAAGAATTAATTATTATACACTCCCTGCTTTGCTGCCCAAGAGTACGCCAAGGTGTGGCTGGAAGTAAATATTAACAAAAGGGTTTCTTTTCTAGCGGTGGTACCCATAAAACGTTTTATTCCAACCGTTGACAGCCAATATCCCAGAAATAAATAAAATAAGTAAAACCCTCTACTCTGCAACTCTTCATTGACGATAATTTGAGACTTGCCTTCATTTTTCAAATAGAGCATAAAATATTAAGTAATTGTTATGGGTTACGAAACTATTAACAAAAAATTGAAAAGACAAAAGAATGTGTTATACTTTCAGTTAGATAAATTTCCTGGAAAAAAGCTGCTTTTCACACATAAATAATTGCCATTATTTCTACAAATTAGTGAGACTTCTACATTAAAAAAATTATGTTTATATCACGTCTATCGTTCCTGTGTGTAAGTAATCAATGTTGTCCTTCACCCGATAGGTGAGATATCTCGCAAAATTTTCAATGTCAATCAAAAACAGTCAAACGTTCGGCGATTGGGATCAAGTAGAAAAATTTAAACGCACCGAATCGAAAATTAATTAAATTCGTTAATTAATTAATTCCATAGAGAAGGGTGCGGAAAATTGGACAGCATATTTCGATTCCCAAATGAAATTGTCAGTTATTTTCACACGTCTGGTCGTTTACACTATAGTTTTAGCTACATTTTTACAATTCCAAGAAATGCAGAGCATCAGATTTTCCAATGTACATTGTCCTAACATTACGCAAAAAAATATTCGGTCTACGCTATCGATTTCATTTCGAGCACCACCCTCTCGTTGCTGCTGCTGCTTTCAAAGTCCACGATAGGTGATACCACGTTGCGTGGCCTCTTATCTTCGGATCAGTCACACTTGAAAGTAACGTTTTTGGAACTGGTTCCGACTGCCGGTGCGGCAACGATCGCTGCCAACCTCGCGGCGACCGGAGGTTCGCTGTCCGAAGGTAAGCGACCACTCTGCCGCCATCATTGAAAGTTCCTCACCCCAAAGTGACGGTTCCGTCTGGCGTAGTTCCTACCGCACAGGATTTTCTTGAACGCGTGTCGAAACTCCGGACTAAATATCGTATATATGATGGGATTGAGTGTCGAATTGAAGTAGCCCAACCATAGGAACGTCGACACCAGATATCTGTCGAATAGATTCGCATTGATCGGCAACAGCACCGCCATTATGAAAAACGGCAACCAGCAAAGCACAAAAGCGCCGGTGATTATGGCTAATGTTTTTGCCGCCTTGCGCTCGCGTTTCGAGTCGACACCGTCTCGAGCTTTTCGCTTTACTGGATGGTACTGCGGTTGGTAGGTGACGCTGCAGTCCGTGGTCGTAGGTAGATCGGCTTCCAGGCCGTTGGCGAAAGAAGTTTTCTCGGGACTGGAGTTGTTTGACGAGACGTTGGTGAAGGCCGTTGTTGTCGTCGCTTCGGAGATTGTCGGTAAAGGTCGGCCGATCACTGTGACCACCGCCGCCGCTATGCCACCTAGAACGTAGAACCAATATGAGTCTCGAATCCTGTTTCATGTTAAACTTTGTTTTAGAAACCTGTAAAGTAATAAAACCTCATTAAATATGCACGGAGACTGATCCAACGAATGCCTGAGCCACCTTCATTGTTTTTCATTGATTTCATTGCAAAGTTCCTTTATTTTATCGAAAGCAGATAGACTCTAGCGGGTTTGGAATTATGTACAGAGTGGTCGGTTTAAGAGGGGCCTATACCTTAGTTAGAAATCTTTGAAATCTATAAAAAAAAATGTTTTTTCCAGTAAAATTATCTTTAATGTTATATTATATATTGGTCTCTAATGCACCGTTATTAGCAAATACATATTTTCCGGTTATTTCTGAAAGGTTTTTGGTTACGTTGCGTGTTAACTTTTAAAACATTTTTTCTTAGATAATATTCAAAGTTGAAATATTTGCTTAATACCAATACGCTTAATTTTTTAAAATCAAACACTCTGTATATTTTGGCATTTTTGGATAGCTCGGTAAAAAACGAATTGCGATGCACTATTTTGATTATTTTTCACGATTTTTTATTAATTTCGATGCAATATTAACGCAATTGACATTAATTCTGAAAGCCTCTCAAATATTTTGTAATAAAATTGCTGGGTCTATAATCATTTATTTGAAATATTGCAAAAAATATTTTTTCATGGCATTTAGATGATTAGGTTGGCATTTAATTGTTTAATTGAATCCCGTATTTGTTGTTGTAATGTAAAAACATGTATGTATTTCATATGGTTGAAGTTAGATTTGGATTTGGATTCACATTTGCAAATATTACAGTCTACCAGTTCGTTACTTATCTTAATTAAAAAAATATATTCCTGTGGATATACTGGGTAAGTAGGCACGGAAATATTATAAGGGAACTTCCAAAATGTTGATATACATGAAATTGTAGAGATTCGGTTTTTGACTCGAAATTTACCCACAAAGACAAATCAATCGATCATGGAGCAATAAAAAATGATAAAATATATGAAAGTGCAACTTAACATTTTAAATATGACAACCATTTTAAAACGTATTTTATGGTATCTCATTATTAGGGGTAGTTTTATATGTGTCCGGAGGTTTCAAGTTGATTGAAGCACACCTAACTATCTGGGACGTCAGATTTTTTTGAGATTCAGAAATAAATAAAACGTATTTTAGGGTATCTAATTATTGGGGGTAGTTTTATATCTTCCAGATGGTTTTAAGAGAATTTCTCGTAAGTAGCTCTTCAATGGCTTGATTGAATATTTGGAACGACAGATCTTTTAAATTAATTTATTTTTTGAGGTAATGCGAGGGAAAAAGTTATTATTTTCTATATAGCAATATTGGACATGGTTTTTGGGAGTTCTCCTACAATATTTTAGCGCTTACTTATCCAGCATATCCATAGAAATATGTTGTTTTAATAAAGATAAGCAACGAACTGGTTCACTGTTATAGTTGCAAATCGGAATTCTAATCCAAATCTAACTTCAGCCACATTCAAACTTAAGAATTCGAGTCAACCCCCAGAAAGCCATCTAAAGTATTACTTGCGAGAATATCAAAGATTGTTATCTAAAGTTTAACGCTTTAATCTCTATAGGTAAAATATGAAAAAATTCTATTTGCCATTTTGACAATTTTTCAGTCGTCAGTAGCCCGGTACTGAATTACTTTTATCTCCGGCTAAATTCTGGAACAAATTTTCAACTGCATATAGACGTCAGCATTTCCCAATTTTGTACAGCACTGCAAAACCCAAATGTCTGCAGATGATAGACAAGTTTATTACTCATTTCTGGAAGATAAAATTTTGGAAAGCTGAGAAATCATAAATAATGCTCTAGACATCATAAATCTATGGCAATGCTGATAAGAGGCTCGTGGATGTTGATCAATTGTCTCACCTAGTTGAAAGTGGATTCAAAAATCCTTGGGTTTAAGTTCGGCAATAAGCTAAGACTTAATTGTTACGCAATGTACTTACACTATAAACTACCTGATGTTAACTCCTTTTTCTACTATAGATTTAAACACAGATGCCCAAAATATTTTATTTTGTTTTTATTCCATTGTATATTATATACGTGAATTATATTATTACTATATTATTATATTAATATTAACAGTAATAACTGGGGCATTGATTAGTACCGGACCGTAGTAAGGAATGTGCCATACCCAAATACAACAATTTCCCACCCTCAAAACACTCAAATATATCCGAATTATGCGCAACATTTTTCATAAAATATGTAAATTAGGACGAATAAGCGAGCCGTATGCGAAACTTTCATTTTTCAAGAAGTATCCAAGGGGGAAATGAGTCCATGATATTTGAATATTTCTAGAATAACCTGAGTATATTTTCATTTCTTTCCAATTTTAAGCTTGCTGGTTTTTAGTTGCAATAATTGTTGCTGTTTATTTTGATTTACAATGTCGCATTAGGCAAGGCATTTGTAATAATCTACCGGAAGAAAGTTACAACACTCTATTGTAGTCCAGAACACGGTAAATTGTCATGACTTGCCTGGCCTGTCATAAACGGAAGGCCCTCTACCCTCAATAAACGGATTAATAAACAAATGAAAAGCCAATTTACAAGCGTCGATGCCTTAAAAATTTAAAGAGAATCGTTTCCGGAATATATGAAAGTGAAATTTATATAAAACTTATATTTTTGTCTTCATTATCGGACAAATGGACACACTGCTCCGACGTGATTAAATTTTAAATTTTTTTTAGAAAAGACATCAGTTAAAGTCTACTACAACATTCGTGAAACATTGCGAATAAAAAATCCGCTAATAATTTACATTTTTGATTGCAAAATTGGTCTGCATGTTCACTAAAAACACTTGAACGGATTTCATAATTATAATTCACTGGAAAGGAAAAAACGACCTGACAAAGGCAGAGTGAAAGTTTTGATGATGATGATGATGCGTAGTGGATTTGCAGGAAAGTGTACGCGAGTAATCAGATTCCGTCACTTGGATGATAGCAACAGAAACTAAAAGAAAATTATCTATTTCTCTACTAAATCCGCTGCTAATTCAAATATAAATATATTAAAAACCGTAGCTGCATTGGTGATTGGCGGAATGGTGACAAAAATATTTAATTCAAATTTATCAATTTGGCGTAGAAAAAAGAAATGTATATTATTTAGACGAGACTTGGGTCGATATAAAGAAAGGATGGCAAAATTCTTCTTTGAAGTGAATTTTGAAGGTCTAGAGGAAATAGAATATCCATGTGGCTCAAGGGAAGGTTGGGTGGCAAATGCTTTGCTATCATCAGGGCATGGAAAGTGTACTTTTAGAAAAGTGGGTGAAAAATTATCTACTTATAAAAATACCGCCTTTTAGCGTTATAATTTATGATAATGCCAATCACAGTACTCGACAGCAAAAAAGAGTTATTGCAGGTGTCAGTCAGCATAATTTTTATATGGAACTTATCGTATGAAATATTTAGTTCTTAGAAGTCATAAACAAATAATATACCAATTAGAATAACATCTACCAATTACCATGTAATGGGTGTGATTGGTGCTCGGTGTGAATTTTTATCACAGAACAATTGGAGAGTATGTGTTCACCATGTGCTTAAAGTGGAAAACAATTAAAAGAAAAAATTGGGATAACGTAAAACAATTCATTATATCGCTAAATGATAGTGATAGTACAGATTCAAACTATTTTGACGAATAGTTCTCTATTACTTCTTTCTTATTGCTATTCGGCACCGGTTTGATTTATTGGGGCAAAAAAGTCTAGAAACATTAATAGCAATATTACAGCCATGACCATTTATTATGTGACAGACTATACTTTTAAGGCGTTAGGCGTAGCGATTTGAAATAATATAATAATACAAGGTGATTGAAAGTTTTGGCTTATTTAATCATAAATAATAATCTATACTTCTTGAAAATGCCAAGATTCAGCTGTTGCTATCACCAACCCATAACTATTTCCAACGGTTACTGAAGAAAAAAAACAAGATAGTGAAATGAACGAATGACTTCAATCTTCAATCGCAAAATCTTTTGATAATCTTATTTTTTACGACAGGTTTTTCTAAAACAATCAGTTATCAAAGTTGTGTTTTTCTTAAGCAGTGAAATTATCTTCCTTATCGTAATTAATACTTCAAATTCAATATCCTTAATATCAACCGTATGTCGGGCTGAGAATTGTGCTAAGGAGAAATTCGAGAGCGTATATGTATGAAACCGATAATAGATAAATAAAAATTGTAAAAAGTGAATTTGATAATTAATTTTTACTAGTATGTATGAATGGCAAATAATTCTTCACATCAAAGTAATTGTGGTGAAGAGACGATTTCAATATAAAGCCCTATTTAAAAGAATATAACTTTGACGTTAGCCCAATTTTGAACACCAACTCATACAATCAAAGTATTTCAAAAACCGTAACCCAATTTACCTCTCAACCATATTTCAAAAAAAATTTTTTTTGAAATATTACCTACGGTTTTTTAAGGAAAACCATTTGCAAAACGTGTTGTGATGGTCGTACAAATACGCGGCAATATGCTTGAGGAGATAATTCTGTCACCACAATTTGGTTAGTCATTTTCATTGTTGACTAGAAATAACAAGCACTCGATTACCTTTATTATAACCATGTTGGCATTTGCTATCGAAATGGTGAAAAGCGATTATTGACTCAAAGTATCAAATCTGCATCATAAACAGATAGAGACAGCAGAATTTGACTTTTAACAACAGAAATAATATTTGAAAAAATCTGGTTATAGGATAAAGAGTTCTGAAATTTTATTATTTTTCAAGAGGGACTTAGCAAGAACTAAACATCTAAATTTTCAAGAAATTGGTTAGCGCATGTTTTAAAATCGCGAAAGTAGCTTAGTAGTAGTAGTAGTAGATTTATATATATTTATATTATTATTATTATATATTTTCGTTTATTTTATTTCTTATCATTAAGGTGGAATTCAAAAAATTCAAACAAGGGTTAGTGCGAGTTCGAAAATTGTGATTTTTAATATCATTTTCCGTTTAGTGAATGATGAAAAGTTGAGTTTAAGTGCAGCTATGAATGAAAAAATGAATGAATGAAAAAAAAAACATTTTTAACATCAAGAAAGAAGCGGAACAAAGCAACGTCGAAAACCCTGCTCCAACAAAAATGCTGAAAAGTCAATCAAATTCTCAGTCACATTGTTCATAATGATTTTTATTTGCAAAAATATTCCGCCAACTTTGTTCTCAGTGCCTTAAGTGGATTAATGGAAGATATAACTCGACGCCTACCAAGTACTAGCAAAAATATTATTTTTATGGATAACGCTTCATATCATTCTTGTAAACGTAGGTATTCACTGACCTCATGAAAATTCAGGATTGGTTCGTCGAAAAAAATATTTTCTTCCACGACTGCTACGTGAAATCAGAGCCGCTGGAAGTTGCCCACGCATACAGAAATGAATATGACAAATATAAAATTGAAGAAACAGCCGGGATATAGGTTTTACTTTTACCGCCATCTCACTGTGAGCTTAATCTTATGAAGGTGGTATGAAACGAAACAAAGCGATATTTGGCACCAGAAAAATTTGAAAAGAAAATGTGGTTCGCTGATAATCTCTAAGACAACGTGGATGAACATAATGTAACGACGGCATAAATTCTGGCGACAGTTCTAAAAGCTGATTGTTGCCCGACACCAGCCATGCTGCAGCTGTCAAAAGTGCACTCCATAAGACTCCACACTCTTCTATTCTATCTGCGGTGTGTCCCCTGTCCTTTATATCCAGGGCGTTGCATTTAGGCCTTTTGATCCATTATGGATGGATTTATGGTCTTCACACCCCGCCTTAGAAGAGTACTTTCGACGAAGGCAAGTACCTCTTTCATGGGGAGTTTGGATAGTTCCACGGGCTCAATTAATTGAGCTTCTAGTACTCTCAATCGGCTGCACTCTAGCAGTGTACAGATGGTTAGGAGATGAATTGGAGTTTCCTTCTCTTCTAAACACAACCTGCATGTGTTGTTGTCGTCCATGATGTGGACGTACCTTCTTAGATGGCAGTGTCCTGTTTAGTCTTCTTTCGATTCTGAGTCCCCTAAGTCTCCTAGAAAGCTCCGCATTTTAGATGGGGAAACTCCGTTGCTTCAATATTTCATCATCATTTTAAATCTCTCTTTAACTATAAATGAGACACCCAGCAGCATAATTACCTGTGCCACTTGCTGCAGCCAACCCTCCTGCAATACCTCCAGCTGCGGGGTTCTTCTCGGGTTGTTGGCCCGTATTGGTAGTTTGTCTTCTACGAATGCGTTTCCGGGCGGTTTGAAATATCCTCCAGTACAGGATCAGTATGACGAGTAGCGGTAGGTAGAATGACGAGGCTGTGGCGAAAATTTGGTAATACAGATCTTGACTCACTAGGCATTTCCTATCCCGTATTCTGTCCTCCCATTGCGGGTCTTTCCAACCAAGCAATGGCGCAATGCACACCAGAAATGATACAGTCCAAATGAAGAAAATCATAATGCCTATTCGTTTGGATGTACGATGGTGAATGTATTCGACATTTGTTACTGCCCAGTATCTGAAAAAAAAACATAATATTAACGAGAAATATAAAACAGTTATTAAATAAAACAAAAGAATTGTTTAGAAATAGCACTAAAGTGTGCCAAAAAAAAAAACGTGTGCAAAAAAAAAAGATCCACTAAATGACCTGAAAACCCATAGGATATACGAAAAGTAGTTTCGTTCAAAACTTTGTTGGACTGTCCTGTTGGTACAGGGTGTCCCAAAAATGTCCCCACGACATCAACTTTGTTATTTTAAATGGAACCTTACATAGTTCGACATTTTTGGAATCCTTGGTTAAAATAAAAAAAACTTCCTTTAAAAATTCCTATTCCAATTTTGTATAGTTTAGGCAGAAATTGAGGTAATGTGTCAGACTCAGATTTTTGCAGTATTTTCAAAGACATTTTATTGCTGCATGAACCTTGTTAAAAAGTGAATCGTTGAGTAAACCTTTGTGGCAAAACTCTTGCATTGTTTTTGTGATATTTTAAACGGTCCCAGTTTCTAGCGCTTTAAAATATCGTTAAATCATTTTAATGATACTGCTCTCTTTTGTGTCGTAATTTTGCACAGAAAGACTTGCTCGTTTTTGCCCGCAAGCATGTTTAATATCAGTGTTAATATGTGTATGTATGTACGTTGTTGTAGGAAATGGTCAATTCGGGATATTCAAACAAATCCGAAACTCAACAATATATATTGACACTACAAAACGCAACATGAAAAAAGATGAATCCAAAAGTACGAAGTAACCACACGTCTCTTATTCTGACATAACCTTCTTCTTAACTAGACCCTAGTCTACATTCGTTCCTCGGACCATAGATGTATGATATAATTTATTGGTTTGTTTTACGATTACCAACATACGTAATTGCCATTTAGCACAACCAGGTGTTAAAGAAAATGGCAGGAGTCACCTAGGGTGGTAAACCAAAAGAGAAAGTTATAGGCCAATTCTACATACAACATAACACAATTGAAGAGAAAATAAAACAGAAAAAAAAAATAAATAGTCGCATAAATTTGATTTTAAGAGACCAAAGTAAAAACAATTAATTACATTAAATTTTAGGAAATATTTTGTACAACAAAAATTCATTTTACCAACTGTCAAAAGAAGTTTAGTTTTAATTTTGCCGTATCAGCTTTCGAATGATATGTTTGAGTGAAATATCGTTGAAGTGTGTCCCATTGCAAAGTTCCGATGTTAATATTACAATCCGAAAAAGCTTTAGGCATCTTATAGGAAAAATATGAACATAAACTTTGAGAAATTTGACGACCAAACATTTCGGATACGGACACCTTTAGTTAAAAATAAACGACCCAAGTGAAATTTGCTCATCAGATATTAGCAAGTTTAATAGCATCAGCGAGTTCTATATCGCTTTTACCCATAAACCAGGGATCATAAAAAAAATATCTAAAAATTATTGTCGGGATTAGGTCAACATTCTTAGATAATACAATATAATATAATTTAAACATTTTTTTTTGTGAAAAAATTTTTAGTAGGAAAATAAAGCTGAAGATCTATTAACTTGTTAATGAGAGATTGACTGTAATATATTGGGACTTTTGTGCAATTTTTAATTTTCGTGAACAGCTTTTATAAATCAGGGGGTTAAAGTTCTTTTTGATAAAAGTTTCAATTACAAATCTAAAAATTTTCCAGAAATTTTGTTGAGAGTTTTGTAAATTAAAATTGCACAGTAACAGAAAAAAGGGGTGTCTTGTACTATATAACATTTGTATTAACGAACAAGAAAGATGCATAGAGTATATAAATTAAATTGGTCAATTTTTGTAGTATTGTAATATTTGCTGCTATTTTTTTACCATTTAATTTTTAGATTAAGTGGAAAAATCGATTATTATTAAGTATCTTAAGCATTATTGTTGTTTTTTTGTTATTTCCCTATTGTTTATAAGCATTCCTATAACAAGGGTAACTCGCATTTAAAAGAACTTAACTTTAATTCAGTTTTCTTGGAAAACAGAGAAGATTTGAAATTAATATAGAAGACAAACCTTTCACCATTCCAATTCTCGCGCAACTCATATGCAGCTTATTATAGCTACTCCTCAAACGATTAATTGGGTTGGGTCGCTATAGGGGGTTGTTATCTTTCAAATTTTATGGCCACTGCGTCCTAAGCCTACTTGTTTTAAATTCCCGAGCAAAATATGAACTAAGCTATATTTTTGGAGAGTCGCTTTGAAAATTTCTTCACAAAAACACAACACACAACGATTTTTTAAAAGTGAATATTTTCTAAAAACACTATATAACTCTGAAACAGTATCAGATAAGATAGCGTTTTATGAAAATTAATCTCCAGAAATCGCATTTGTTTTCATAGAAAAGGGAGTGGCCAGTTTGACTCATCTTCTTTAGTACCTGAAAACTACTAAATCGTCAATAATGCATCAGATGTAAAAAAAATTGCTATTCTGAAAGTCCGCACTTTATAGAATGTTGCACATAATAAATTTTTGTTCACGTTTCATATAGCATATATAACACTATGACCGTTTACGTAAAGAAATAAGATAATTGAAGCTTTTGGACGCTTAAAATATTGCGTTATGCTTTTGCACTTTTACGAATGGGAAAACCACGAGGCCCGCGTTTAAATTGATTATCTGCTCTCATCTGAACTATTTTCCTGCTCTACTCTTTTGGAATAAAATTTCACTATATTTTACTCCAAAATACCCAATTTATATTCGTTACCCACGACTACGCACATTTGCGGGATAGTACCCGCGGCTTGAGGGTGAGAGTTTTTAAACTCTTGGTTCAACACGGAATAATGCCCATTTTGAAATTCGTAATAAAAAGTCTTGGGTGCTGGAGTGCTTTTTTTATACATCAACAGAGATAAAGACCAAAAAGGTAAACGAGATAACGTTGGTGGCATGTGTGGGATTGGCATGGGGTGCTGGGGTCTTAATTGATAACAAGTGCGTACGGACTGAGAATTAATGAAGTTAGTATAAACCGTGTGGTGGCCAGACGAGAGACCAGACGTTTTAGTGGATATGTTTCATAAAAAGTAAAAATAAACTACAGTTATGGTAGTATGGAAGGTATCATATCGACATACCTTTGACTTGTTGCTGGGATCATGGCATGATCAAAAAACTAAAAGTTGAAGATTTAGGAGATTCTTTTTCTGCGCAAATGCAAAATTTCATTGGTATTTTTTTAACGATTGTTTCAAATTTTGTCTTCAACCTTTCGTTTTTCTGTCACCATTATTAATTTTATTTTTGCGGGTGAAGCATTGTCTTTCCACTTCTAAATAGCGTATTTTGTTCCAATCCTATAGAGGTATGGTTTCTTATATTTAGAATTCTTGGAATGTTGTAAAAAACTTTAGTATCTACTCAGTTTTTATTTTAGATCAAAATTAAAAGCAGGTAACGTTTAGATAAAATTGAATTATCGAAAATACCTTAAAATTTAGATAACGTAAACCACAACGATTCGATATGATGTACACCGTGTGCCAAATAAAACGACCCACTATACGATCTGGAAACCCATAGGATAAATGAAAAAAAGTTTCGTACAAAAGTTTCTTGGACTCTCCTGGATATTAAAATATTTTAATTTGTGATACAGGGTGTACCAAAAGTGTCTCCTCCGACATTAACTTTGTTATTTTAAATGGAACACTCAGTATATATCGACATTTTTGGAATCATTGCTTAAAATAAGAAAATGAGAAATTCCTATTCGTATTTTGCATATGTTGCATATATTTTTATTCAGATATTAATTCTATTACAAAAAACAAAGTTCGTAATTTACCTTATATTTAAATTTTACCTACTTTTTGAGATATTCAAGGGTTAATATAACACCCGTATAAATTGTTATTGAATATAAAGCTACCCAAATTAGGTATTTTTTAAATAGCAGATACACGATACTATTTCTTTTAAATATATAATAGTCGATATATACGAATGAAACAACTGCTAACAATACAGGGTTTTCATTAATAGGTTGAGATTTTGAGAAAAATCGACTTTATACTACACACTAACAGATTTAATAAAACTTCAGGAATCATATTTAAAGAGTTAATTATCGGGCTTGATTGAAAATACCTAATAACAAAAATAATTAATTAAAGTTCATAGATTAACCAAAAAACTGTAGCTTATTTAAAATGCAAATAAAATATATACTAACAAAAAACTCGACAACTATAAACTTTTTAAATAGAGATATTAAAAACAAAAAGAAACAAAAAAAAAATTAGGTTTGTCAAACCTAACGTTGAGAAATAAAGAAACTTAAGCAAACGATATAATAACGTTGGTGTCAGATGTGGGGGTCAGCATGTGATGCTGTGATAAATTATTCTCTTGGTGTTAAACGACAACAAGCACGTACAGGCTGAGGATGAAATGTGTTGTGGCCGAACAAGAGACCAAAGGTTTTGGTCAATAAGTTTTATAAGTGAATTAACGATAAATTACAGTTTTGGGAGTATACAAAGTGTTACGCCGATGTGACTAACGTGGTAGTTTAATATAACCGACCATGAACAAAAAGCCGAAAATTGAAGACTTAGATGATTCATTTTCTGTGAAAACAGAAAATCCTATGGGATTTTTTTTAATTATACGACATTGATTTCAAAATTTCCACTTAACCTTTCGTTTTTCTATCACCATTTAGTCTTGCGGGTTAAGAATTGTGTTTTCACTTTTAATCAACGTATTTTGTTTTCATCCTATCGGGCTATAATTTCTTATATTCCAAATTCGTTGTTGAGAAACGTTAGTATTGAATCAGTTTTTAGTTTACAAACATTACATTGTACTTCTCAAGTCTTTGTAATATTAAAAGTAGGTAATTTTTGATAAGATTTTAATTATCTATATAACCTTCAAAAATGTTATAATATCGACAACAGCTTTGATAGTTTTAGCACTTTTGAGATTGTCCATATGTCCATAATTAACACAATGTTCCCTACCTGAAAT